CCATATTTCTCTGGCATTTTTGTGCTCAAAAACTACATTTTTCATTTTTCTTAGAAAAAGTTTATACAGCTTCTTGCATTGAGGTCAAGGTCTTGAAAAGAGTTTTAAAATCTTTGTCATGTCTGTAGTGGAACGAAATAAGCAAAGTGAAGGAGGGCAAAGTGGAGTGTGAAACAAACATGATTCATATTATATAATTGAAAAATATTAAGAGGTGACATGTTAGGTTAAAGATTCCAACAGAAGAAATTTTGACAATACTTTTGACATGTTCTAGTTAAAAATGTTATCCTTTCCTCCTTTGCGTTTTATCCTGGCTATTAATGGTTTGTCTGAAGTCCTTATGGTAAGGCATAAGAAGTTAGGCTCATGTAAGTCACCCTTACCATGCTGAGCAATACCATACTCTTTGTGGATACACTGGAGAGTTTAAATGAGGTAGTAGATTTGGGGAGGCTAAAATTCATTTAAGTGTTGAGAGAAAGTTAACTACATAATTACTTTTAACTTTTCAGGTATGTGTCCAATGGATCTGTGTACTTTGATACTGTGAAGTTTGATTCTACTGAGAAACACTCCTATGCTAAATTGGTTCCTGAAGCTGTAGGTGATCAAAAAGCTCTTCAAGAGGGTGAAGGTAAAGACGGGGAAAAAACACTTGCTTAAATTGCTGTAGGTACACGTTATGTCAAATCTTTTCAGTTCATTTCACTGATGTCTTCATCAAACCTATTTTCAGAGTTGCATAATTTACATTCTGCACTTCCTTTATCTCTGGATTTGTTTTCCAAGGCTTTGTAGCTTGAACCAGCACTTTCAACAGTATTTTATTTGGAAAATACTAAGAAATTTCCTTCATTCTAGGATGACGTTTTTATCAGTCTTTTTATCAGAATTGTGAATAGCCCAATTGTTTGACTGCAGCCAAATCATTTGGCTGTTCATCCGATTCAAAGTAGGGAGAGCAAGGACTTAAAGGTGAGTCTCTCTCACATGACAGGTGAAAGTCCTTCCTACCAGGCTATGGCTATTTTATGACAAATATTTATTTATTTCCTCTCTCTCTTATTCTGTTGTCATACTGAAAACTCTTTACTTTGTAAACTTTGTTGCGTTAAACTAAATCTAAATACAGGTCTTTTAATAAGAGCTACAGTGGAGGAACAGCTTAAAACACTCAATAAAACATGTTTCATTAGTTAGCTCCTCCTAGCATAATACCCTTAGAGTAGGAAGGCATCCACAAAATGTAAAAATAAAAAGAAAAAAAGAAAAGAAAAAAAAAGCAATTAAGTAAATAATTGCTGAAGTCAAGGTAGCAAGCTATTTCTGAGAGAGATGCTGCTATAAACTGCATAGGATTCTTATTAATTTAAGTCCTTGGAGCTGAACTTTCTATGCAAATGTGAAGTAGAAAGTGCTAGCTTAAGCCTCCATCTTTTTGGTAGCATAAATGGATAATTTCTACCTACCACGTAACCAGATAGTATTGTTATATTGTTGTTTCCTTTTGCAAATATAAAGCAATGTAGAGTGATTAATATAACTAGGAGCATGCATACCCAAGTTTTCACTTACTAGTTTAGGTGCCCTGACTCATTTATGATGATTATCCTGACAGATAATGTCATTTTGACTTCCAGAGGCAATAGAAATGCTAAGCTTTAAAAGTTGTAAATAATGCAAGTTGAAGTATGAAACGTTTTATATTCAAAGAGCATAATGAGATATTCTAAAAGAATGAACTGCAAGTATCTCAAAGTGTACAACAAAATTAGTTGACAATTTTGACTTTAATCTTGGCAATTTTGGCTGTTGTCTCCATCTTAGATTCTTATATCTTGGGTGATATTGTTAAGCATATTTAGTCTTGGTATTGCAAAAATGGTAAATTCCGTCTGTTTTAAAGAGTTAAGATGCTATAATAAGAGTACAACTCAAATGGTCACAAGGGGGTCACAGTAGTTAATGCAGAACACATTTGTGATGAAAACAATGACAATAAATACACAGATATTGGATAATTACTAGCCATTCTGTGCAGCAGCTAAGTTAAACTGTGGAAGAAGTATCTTACGAACATATTGTCTGTGTGGATTTAAGTCAATTCTATTAGTAATTGCGTTATTTTTAATTTTGGTGTGAATTGATTATGCTTTGTTGTGTTTTTGTATTACTTCTTCTGGAACTACAAAATTGGAGTTGTATCTGCAGAAAGAATGTAGATGAATCTCGTACGTCAAAGCTTAAAAAGCAGTGTAGCTGATTTTGTAATACTTGTTGTAATCTTTCTTGTCAACCAAGTATTGATCAAGAAGCGAAGAAATAGCAAGGTTAAGTATGATGAATTTTGAGTGTTTTTTTTCCCCTTAATTCACAGAATGTGAATTGTGACAGAGAAAAGAATCAGTAATGCTTGCATTTAAATAAAATACAAATATTTGTATTTTCTGTTTTGAAAGGTGACCTGAGTATATCAACTGATCGCTTGTGTGAGAAGCATTCTCCAAATGATTTTGCTTTGTGGAAATCCTCTAAGCCAGGAGAGCCCTCGTGGGACTCTCCCTGGGGAAAGGTTAGAGCTGGATTTTAGTTCCTCTACAGCTTAATAAATACCATGTTTTATAATTCACCAGTATGATGCCTCATATTAGTGATGTCTAGATTATGGGGGTCTTGTATTCAATTGTACATTCCATTGCTGTGTTCACTATAGGATTTAGAATGGATATATTAACTATCTGGAATCTATCAGATGCTTTTTAAGCAGAAGCATAAGCTTGTGTGCATGCTTATAAAGTCTGCTTTAGTTAGTTATTAGTTAGCTCCTACTTAGCTACAGTCTTTATTTGCAGAGGTTTATTTCCCCGTCTCCCTGTAATCAAAAATATTGATTGTATTTAGTGTAATCTGTGTAATCAATTAATCACCGATATATATTTACAATACTGGATCTTGAAGTCCAACAGGCATCCCTTTGTCGAGCTGAGAGACTGCGAGTCTTTTTTATTTTTCTAGATAATTCTGTTTCTCACTTCTTTACAGGCATAACTGTTTAGGGGCATACCCGTGCAAAAATGGTGCATAGGCAGGGGAGGAAAACAAAGAATTAGCAATTATTTGAAGTAATGTCTTTGTCTAAACAGGGCCGTCCAGGCTGGCACATTGAATGTTCTGCAATGGCTGGATCCATTCTAGGGAAATCGATGGATATTCACGGAGGTGGTTTTGATCTTCGTTTTCCACATCACGACAATGAACTGGCACAGTCCGAGGTGAATGAACTGTCAAAGATCTTCAGTGTGCAGTGAGGAAGCTACATGCTCAGCTTTGACTGCACCTGATGCAGATCCATCAGTTAATTTTTAAGATATTGCATGTATTTTATATAATCATAACTTTTCCTCATTATTTACCTATACCTATATTATTCTGGTTTGTGATATGTATTTATACAGTTCTGAATCCTCTGTATTCTTTTGTTTTTGCTGTAGGCATACTTTGAAAATGATTACTGGGTTCGATATTTTCTGCATACTGGCCACTTAACAATTGCTGGTTGTAAAATGTCCAAATCTTTAAAGAATTTCATTACTATAAAAGATGCCCTGAAGAAGCATACAGGTAAAAATAACCTTGGAATTTCAATGGCTGAGTGATGTAGCTTGAGTGATGACTGTGTTAATTTTGTTATTTAGGCACAAAATGAAGTTTCCAGATTTGACTAAATCCAAGTGTCTTTTTTTTCATCATTAAATAGCTAAATAACTTTAGAACAGCTTCCCTGTTTCTCGTCTATGAAGTGTGGATGATTATGTCTCCCCTTTTTGGTAGATGAATTGAGAGTAAGAATATTAAAGATTGTGATGCTCTTAGCAATTACAGTATCAGAGGCCATAAAATACCTCACTTCATGACTATTTTCCTTGTTTACTTTAAAACTGATAGCACGGCAGTTACGGTTGGCTTTCCTCATGCATTCTTGGAAGGATACACTGGATTACTCAAATAATACCATGGAGTCAGCTATTCAATATGAGAAGTTTATGAATGTAAGTAAGCTTTACATTCTTTCTCCATCTCGGCACCCTTTGTGCTGTCATACATGCTTCAGGCAATGGAAACCGAATTTATATCGGCCTTATCCCCAGAAGGAGTTGCCTTCTGAATTCAGAAATCCCCCCATTTTTTTTTATGCTATTGTTGACCACTGAAGTCACATAAACTCCACAGCCTGCTATATTTTTCTGCAGGTGCGTACTTTCTTAGGTTCTCTTGAGTTTTGACATCTCTGAGCAGCTTGACACTTGTATGCAAGATTATTTTCTCATCTTAGGTTGCTTGTAAGACTCAGTCCAACATGCACTCTCATAATACGTCTATCTGATCAGACTTCACACAGATACAGCCAGAAGAGGAGGGGATAGCGTCGTTCCTACCTTACCTCCTCACCACATACATAAAGCATTTGTCTTTATGTCTGGCAGCTGGCATGTGAGGGGTCAGACTCCGCATGGTTTGGAGCGGTGCTGTACAGCATTTTCAGATCATGGATCTTGGTCTCTCCAATTGCGGCTGTTACACTTGTTATGTAAAGCATTTTCTTTAGGCCATGGAATAACTGGAAATGACTTCTCACCAAGCGGATGCCCACCTGAAAGAGCCCCTTGTTATACAGCTGTTTTAATTATTTAATTCTTTAGCTTACATTGCTAGCAAAACACTTATTCTGTCTTAAGAATTCCCATTTAAAAATAATAACTCTTGTAAATGGATTTGTGTTTGAGCAGCTTGATGTTAGAGTATCATACTATATTATGGAGTGGCAAAATCAAGACATGGGACTGTATGTGAGTTTCCGTGTTTTGACAGATGTTCAGTGATCCAGGCTGAAATAGTGTTGATAACTACCTCCTTTAGAAGGCTAGTAAGAAATAGACCTTTTCTTAGTAAGTATTTTTTGTGTGTGTAATTTAACCTGTTTTTGAGCTATATTCTTCTTTTGTAGGAATTCTTTTTAAATGTGAAGGATATTCTTCGAGCTCCCACTGATGTGACAGGCCAATTTCAGAAATGGGAAAACTTTTTTTGAATAGCCATTATGTAGATGCGTGTTTTGTTTTTTTCTCCCACAAAATGGTTTTCCTTGCAAAATGCCTCACTAGTAAAGAGTTCTGTAGCACTTTCAGTGAGGATCTCAACATCCTATAAAAGTTGCACCTGTGTGCCTCACCACTCTTATTTGTGTTGGGAAAGAGAACTGCTTTGCTACATAGCTGCCATTTTCTTCATTACTTGAAATGCTGTCCTTCCATCTGAGGAATGACTGGTAATCCTGATACAGTCTTTAAAACTTTTTAAATAGTATTTTACATATTCCAAAATGTAATGAGTAAATTGAGACTAACCAATTAGATGACTTGACTAAGGTCACAAAAGAAGAGATCAGAGTGCTGATGTTTGAAAAGTTGTGTCTTGTTGAATTGAGAGAATATTAATATTACAGTGTTTTTCTTTTATAATGAAACTATCATTACCGTTTACAGTATGAACGGCTTCTTGTGTGGTTTTATTATTTGTGAAATGTAAAGTTGATGCATTTTACGTATTGGAAGTAATGAAATGATCCTAAGGCAGCTTATTGTTGTGAAGAGATGCTTGCTGCTGAATGTTCAAGTACAGATGCTTCAGTTCATAAATGTACTTTGAAAACTTCATTTTCAATTCCTGGCTATTGCAGATAATCATTTTTTAAAAATGGAGAAAATATAGTAAGTAACAGAGAGGTGACCAAATGAGGGCAAAGGACTGGGAGAAATGGAAGATAAGCTCCATGGATGTTTTGTTTTTCTTCCTTTATCTTCCTCTTTTAATTCCTTTTTATCTGGAAAAAAAAGTATGCCATTTGAACCATAGTGGCCATTTGTGAATCTTTTTTTCTTATTTTGCCAGGGTATGAACATTACAAACATTTGCATGAAATTTTTGTTTGTATCTGCTTGTAACAGTTTCATAACATCTCAATTTGTGGTAATTTAGCTTCCAAATTGGTATTCTTCTTTGGAGAGATAGTAAACAGAAAGCTCAGCTGAAAGAAATGGAGAAGAGAGCAGCCCTGTAAGAATATACTAAATACAGGAAGGAATGAAATAACCAAATTGTTCTGCTTGTAAAAACTAGTATTAAAAAGTAGGTTCCGGGGAAAAAAAATATTTATGTATGTATATTGTTCGGACAGTTGTTGCCAGTTAGGTTATCCTGCATGCTTTTGTTCATAGAAGCAAACCATCAGTTACGATGATACCTTTCTTTTGTTACCTGTTTTTCTTCAAATAACTGCAGCAAAAGATTATCTCACTTTTAGGTCCCTTTTATTTTTCTAATAGTAGTTCTTCAGAGTAGATTGAAGAAATTGTTCAGAGTAGATTGCAGATACTTTTGACATAAATAGTAAATAAAATTTTTTCTTCTTAGTTTTTACGACAAGAAGGCAGCAATTCATGAAGCACTGTGTGACAATATTGATACTCGCTCTGTCTTAGAAGAAATGCGTTCGTTAGTCAGTCAGAGCAACTCCTATATTGCTGCAAAGAAATCTTCCAGACAAATGCCAAACAGACTTCTTTTACAAAACATCAGTTCCTATCTAACTCAAATGCTAAAGGTATGTAATAGCAAGTATTGCAGTTGCTATTGCACTGTGCAATTACTACTGTTGTATTTTTCAAGTATGTAGGGATCTATACAGTCTTTGTTTAAATCTCGCAGGAATCTAGAGGCCTTTCCTTCCTCTGTCCCACCCCAAAATAAGCCCAGATAGCAGTTCTTGTTGCAGCAGGGACAATTTGGAGTCCTTTACATTACATTTTAATTTTATGTAATGTTTTGTGTAATAGTAGGAAGCCTGTAATACATGCAAGGAAAATTAGGCAGTAGGAAAATACAGTCAATTAAAATGTTCAAATCTTACAGCATTAAAACTAGACTAGAAGGTCAATAAATGATATGTGATATCAATAAAAAAAAAGAAAGAAATGATCTCTTTCTAGAGCAGTGAACTGCAGCTTAAATCAACTAGGTGGCTTCAGAACTCTAGTATGTAATAATTTTTGCTTTGTTTTTACATATCGGTTACTTAATGTATACAACTTATTTTTTCCCTTGACCAGATATTTGGTGCCATAGACAGTGATGATGCAATCGGGTTTCCTGTTGGAGGAAATAGTCAAAATATAAATGTAAGTGAAGGACAAAGTATACTGTACAAAATTACTCTGTGTACTTTTGTAGCTCTTTGAAAGCTTACATAAGATAAAGTGATTACATTACTGATATGTAGCTGAATTCTGCTCTTGCCACTTATAACATTTTGAATCTGAAGCAATTAATTGGCTTAGGAGGCGGATTTTTTTGTTTACATGAGTTGGGTTTTTTATTGGTTTGTTTTATTTAATGACAGACAAATTGTACAGCAACCAGAAAAAGAATTATCTTCTTTTCTGACTGATGAGCCTGGTTAAGAAAACCACATGTTGACTATAGACAGTACATGCCAGAGTCTAAAGACTCATTACAAGTATTTGTATGTAAGTAGTCTCAGAAATATAATTATACTGATTAAAAATCCTTGTGGTACACCAAAAAGCAGCCTGGAGGCAGCTAGAGTTTCATCCTCATTTCAATCTCTTTTTCTGATCTCATTTATAACCACAAAATGTATCTGGCTTTCAAAAGCTGCTTTGTTTTGGTCACCTGGCAAGTACCACTGTGATGTGGAATTTTTCCTGGGAATACTTGGAAGCAGCCTAATATGTGAGGCTCTCTGCATGCATTCATTGCTCTCTGTTCAGGATGAAATTTTGGCTTGAAAAAGATAGTGTTTTGTCCAAGTGTTTTCTTTGTCTGTTTGTTTTGGTTTTTAAGTGCAACATCTGATATCTAGTAGCTTCCAATATCAGTCTCATACAGTCTTGCATTCAAAGCTGTGAACACCGTGCATGTTTCTGTTCCTTCATAAAAATGAATAACTGAAACATTTGAGGCATAGTTATAATAACAAAAACCTTATAATCACTGAAGAATGAAATAACTTGTGATTGAATAATGCGAATGAACATCCACCTGGTGTTTGTCTGGGCAAGTATTTATATTGTCATGCTGCGGAAATCTTCATTAATTATAGATATAACAAGGATGATAAGAAAAATGCTGAGCATTCCCTTAAAAATCAATAGTGAATATTAATTTAGCTCAGAATTATTTTGAATTTTAAAAGACAACTCCTTGAAGTATATCTTTTTAGGGAAAATGAAAATGAAATCCATGTTTAACACAGTGCTTTCAATAGACATGCTTTACAGAGGGATGGCCATTGATTTGGAACACATTGCCTTTCACTCTTTTAAAATAGAATTGCTAAGTTTAGTAGAATCAAGAAAATCTGGTGCAGAAGGGGGATTTTAACGCCTGTTAGTAAAATTCATGAAATTTTTATAGTTTTTGTTTTTCTATGCAAGGTCAATTCAAAGTATAGCAGCAGTCCTATATCCCGAAGCAGATGTTTTTGCTTTTCACAGGAGGAAACTTCGATTTTTACCACCTAAGAAACTATTGATTTTAAGCATTATGATACTAAGATGTTTACTATTAAAAATCTTTTTGTCTATTCCTTTAAATATTCCCCCTCTCAGTCTTCCATGCAGATGCTTCTTCTTAGCAAAAATTACCAGGTTAACATTCAAGGTCAGAAAATTTCTCACTAATTACAGAAGGCTGTGGATCAGGTCCATTTTTTTTGTCCAAATGAGATGAAGGAATCGATACATCTGAAGATCATTCTCTCCAAAAAAGGCCCAATCCTCTTTAAAAGCCTGAAAGAACGATGACTGTAATTACTGCGGTTCAGTAATTTACTTGAAAGGGGAGCAGGAGAGACTTGAAGCAGGAAAACCGCGGATTCCAGCATCTCATTTTTCAGATGAATTAAACTTTGCTGTAAGGTGAATTGTTCTGGAAATCAAAAACTTTAATCTTTAGACTCCTAAAATGTAATGAAGTAGTAGCAAGCCATGCTTTCATGCTGCCACTTCGTTTGTACATCTGAAGCTTGTTTCAGTGGAGAGCGCAGTGGAGAAGCGACTGTTGCTCAGTTTTCAGTCTGTTCTTTCTGCTGAGCCTGTCAGCACAGGTTCCAATTGTGAAGCTGGTTTTACAGCATGAATTTTCACTTATGAAAAGTTTTTACTGAGCCCTTCAGTATGTTTCAGTGCGTGTTTTTAGAGCATAACAGACTATAGGATGTGTTGTTTGCACAGCAGTTTGTCACAGAGATTTAACAGATAAATAAAGACAGGTGGAAACTGTTTTTATTCAAAAGCATAGATGTTTTTGTCTTTCCCTCTCCTACCCTGCAAAGAAATGTTACTTCTAATGTAACCAGTCCTACTGGTGCCGAGCTTCTGGTCTTGGGGTTGCAGAGAAGCACTGGCAGGGAGCACTTTCTGTATTTACTTTTGTGGTTGTTCACCATTCACTAATTGCTTGCTGGTGCTATCCGCTGCCATAGAGAGCATGACTCTCAAGACATTCCTATGAGCTTTCGTATTTTCTTACATCTGAAATAGTTCAAGACAAATTTTCCACCACTTTTTTGAGAGGAGGGTGGAAAGTGGAACAAATGCACATTAGGATAACCTAACTTCGGAGGAATAGTTTTGTGTTCTACTGCAAATAAGGTTAATAGTTTTGTGTTCTACTGCAAATAAGTCTTAGCCTGAGGTGCAACCTGGTGTTATTTCTAACAAGCAGTTTGACCTATGTAAGATATCTTCAGAACATGAAGGGGCAAATTCAGCTGGGTAGAGTTCTCCGGTGTAGCCTTGGCAGCTGTTCTTATCCTTGTACTGCATTATAATTATCCAGCCTTCAGCATAGCCCTCCAAAACTGATGTATCTGCATAACTGAAAGGAGAAGAAGAAGGAATAGGGAGAGTGGGAGTTTTCAGATTGGTTTCATCTACTCAAAACCAAAATTGTTAACTAATGCAAGTCATTGTCTTGCCCTTGACATCAATAGAGCAATG